CCCTGTATATACGACTTAGGCATAATAATATTATTACACCAGTCACCAACCATACAAATAGAAGTATGTAAAATCCTACACTTATAGGTACATGGACATACGGTGCATAATATATACAATATATAATAAAGTAAGACCTCCTATATCATATTATTATACGTCTTACACGCACGTCACGATATCTATATAAATCTATATATGTATATATGATGTTGTTTTGATACGTCTGCTGTCCGTGTACCGCTTTTCCGAGGAAAATGTGCGCGACGACGTGATACCATTACCCACACGTCGTTCGTAACAACAATCGTAACACATAATGCCGCAAAAAAAAATGTGCACCCACCCGCCGTTAAGTCGTTTATGCCTTCTATTCGAGGCGTAGCTTACCGTGAAATCAGGCGCAACAATTTTCCCAGGTATATTACATTATTATTATTATTATTATTATTATTATAAAATAATCTAACACAATAAAATGTATGGTACACAATGTCCGGTACACAATAATAAATAAATTTTATTATGACGTATGTTTTATACACGGACGACGATGATGGTCACATCACTCACATCTATACTCATCAGCTGCCTCCCCACGATATGTCATAGACTCGTAACGATAATAATAATAGCGAAAAGACTAGCGGTAGTCGTAGTCGTCAATAACTGAAGGTGTCTGCGGACGACAAACGGTACACAAATCGATGTGCGCTAAACGAACATGATAATAATAATAACAATATGTAATTGTAACCGTGCCGGTGCATGGGCGCATATTACTGTATACAATATAATATTTTTATGATTGTCGATTATATCAAGTCCACATATTAGGACACATTTTCGATATAATGTTATTGTAAATTTGTAACTCATATTTATAACTTGTTAATAGTTGTTACGTTATGCATATTTTATAATTATTGCATTAAATATACAATATACTTATTTTTCAGTATTATAGTGGTGCATTGCAAATGTACGCATGGTGGTAAACGATTTAAAATCAAGCAAGCCATAACATTTTTAAGCCCCTGTACTAAATGTTTTTGAGGGTCCTAAATCCTAATCTCCTAATGTCCTATGCGAAAGTTCCAATAAGATACAACCCATAAAAGATTTCTGTACAATATATTATAATTTATAATATAGTAATATACATTTACATCGTAAAATATTTTTAAATAAAATAAGTAATCCTATCAAAATTTCAAAATTTCAAAAATTACAAATCAATTTCAACGGGTCCATATTATCCTCCTAGTCGAACAGCGCCCCCTCCCTTGTGAGGACTTTGGGCATTTACAATAAAACATCATTGATGATAGTATTACGTATATATTATAGCTTATCTGGTAAGTTCAGTATACTTGTTAGCTGCTATTCATATTATATTATAAGAGTACACTTATTTGAAATATTTATTTCTGTTGATCAAAAAGTAACGTCTCAAAGTAAAAGCTAATTGTGCAGGGTATATTTAGATGGAATTCGACCAAGGGTGATATAAGAAAAGATTTTTAAAACCGCCTGAGGGCGGAGAGGGAGTCGTTTAACACGAACAAAAGGGTTGCCGGTTTAGTTTCACCTGGCGTTTACCTGCAGGGTTTGGGACGAGTTTGAATATCTGTGCAACCTCATAACCGTCATGAGGTGGGAGAAGGGGATAAAAACAAAATATTGGACATTTGTGAAAAAAAAATTGTTAATCTACAGTTTTGATTATAGGTATTTGGTTAAATTTTGTAAGTATGATACTTTATTTTAATTCATTATTAATATACCTAGTTATTTAAATATACTTTTAAATATATTAAATACACAATTTATAATTAAATAAATTAAAAATAGTTAACTTAATATAAATGTATTATATTATTTGTGGTTAAATTGAAATTGGAAAAATATCAATATATTTATAAACTTAACAGTATTATTTGGATAATTAAGAGAACAAACGAAAATAAAAATTTAGATCTACTAGTACACATTGTTTTTTGTTATTATTGTCTTCTGAGCGGGTGATATTTTTATAAACGATTATTGGTGGCATATGATTATGTGAGACATAAAGAGATTGGCTGGTTGGATTAAATCACGTTGAGTTACTTAAGAGGACGCTACACCCGCATATGTTGTCTCCGTCTTACAAGTGCGTAACATTGCAAAACTGTTTCGCGCGGGGAAAAACCGAGAAGGCTACAGTTATAACTAAGAAACGAAATTTTCACCACATAATAAGGAGAACATTTACTGTGCAACGWTGTTTTCAATTTTTCGAWATCACAAATAGAAAAAAAGTTCTTATTGTTTCAAAATTCRYTAWTTTTGCRTTTTTMAAARTCGRATAACTTTTTTTTCAGTTCTAATATCAAAAAAATAAAAACAACGTTGCACAGTYRAAATTCCCTTTTATCTGTKRTGAGAATTTCGTTTCTTAGTTATGACTGTAGCCTTCTCGGTTCTTTCCCGCGCAAAACAGTTTTTGCAATGTTACGTACTTGTAAGACGGAGACAACACACTCGGGTGTAGCGTCCTCTTAAAAGCAGATTGTCGATACGAGTTCAGAAGAACACATATTCGTATAATGTTGTTATAAAGATGTGCACAATATAATTTATTTACTTATTAAGCAAAAATTATGCGATTTTGTAATACGTACGTTGTTGATGAATATGCCACAGTAATCAGTCGATCCTTGGGTGGCCAGCAGGTTGATGCCAAGCGTGGTGAGCTTTGTGCCGTTCCCGTAACTCAGACAACCCGACGAACGATAGTCTCTGGCATGCACGGCACCTGTGGAAAATGAGAGGTTTTTTTTTTAAATTATACAATTATTATTTCGATTAACCGTGACGTTTATGATGCTTTTATTGCGTGGGTATACGGTAGGACCTCGAACACTGTTCTTCACTAATATATAATAGAGTACCGCCTATGGGCAAGTGCAGTGGGTAGGTATATATTATTTTTATTATTACATACTATAGCTAGGTATATTGAATCGTTATATACTTTACGTGAACGTATAAGCGAGTAAACAACACGTATCTGAGTAAGTAGGTATCTAAGCTATATGAACTTTTCAGGAGGGTAAAAAAGTTGGTTTTTATTTTAACTTAACATTATATAATGTCATTTTTCGTTAAATTAACAATATATTTATTTATTTTTTGTTTTTGGTGGGAAAATATAATTTGATTATGATTTATGGTTAATATAATCGATTATTGTAAGGAGATTTAGAATTTCTCAATATATAAGTACGTACTTATTGTATAGGTATTACGTTTTTATGTGATCAACATAATATATAATGTTCATATATGAATACTGACCGTCCACGTGTGTTTACATGTCTACGTGTGTCTACATGTCTACGTGTGTCTATATACATAGGATTCAGATACAGAGTTCAACTTTTTTCTTGTGATATGGAGAAAAATTTTTACCTCACATTCTATCCTTTTTATCAACACAAGCATAACATTTACAATGAATTCTACTTACTTCTTTCCACAATTATTTAATTATAGGCATTAGTGTTGATGGCAATATAATGAACTAAACTAAACTCACTAATAAGTATTTGCATTATTATTATATATAAACTTACAATATTATAATTACATAATACGTCATTTTTATTTGTTTACTTTAAGTAAATTATTTACTTAAATTATTTTACTCAATATTTATTATGTGGAGAATATATTTTTATTTTAGTGTACACTGTATACATTGTGTACATAAAATAATCTATATGTATAAAATATATTGGCCAAAATATTTTAGTTTTTTTTAGTAAACTTAACATTATAATCTATAAATTGGTTAAAATATTTTATTTCGTTTGAACATTTAAATCTATGACTTAAATTTGAATTACTTAGGGCCAGTTGTACCGTCTACGGTTAAACTTCGATTACGCTTAATCAGCTGATAACAGATATTTAACCRYGCAAAWTYRGCCRATTAARCTCCGGTTAACTTTAATCAGAGACGGTACAACTGGCCCTTACAATGTTAAAAAGTAAAACAAGCACAATTTTTATTTGAACACAGTTAGCTTTAAACACATAATATAATAGTTTAATGATATGAATGATGATGTACAAATAGATGGTTAAATATGTTTTTTTAAACATTGAAAATATTTTAGACGTTTTAAATTTTGTTATATATGAAAGTATTTTTGATACTATTTAATGACTAATGGATAATGAATAAGTATAATAACCAACTTTTAATACCTAATATTGAAATTAAATTATAAAAATTGGAAATAAAATACCAGGTAAAGAATAAATCACATAAAAATTAAATTTGACAGAGGAAAAATGATATCTGGTTCAGATCTTACCCATATGGTCATATAATTGTTCTTTAGCTTAAAAACAATGCAATAAATTGAACGCGGAAATAACAAAGATAATATTATAATATTTAGATCCCACGAAAAAGGTGTGGAAAAAAGTCCTTGGTGAAATTTGATGTTAAGTACCTACTACTCTATAGCATAATCATTGCCCATTGGTGTCAAAAAACAATGAAAGTATTGATTATTGGTTCACACCTTTCTAGTTGAATAATCACATACAATTTATAATTTATACTACAGTGTTATAATTTTCTGTTTATGTGTATTGTAAATATTGTATACCTAATGATTTTGCTATTCTACAAAAATATATTACGTAAATATTAAAAAGTATGGATTAAATATTATGGCCATGCTGAGTTGTATTAATTTAAATTTGAAAGCAAATATAAAATTATTAACCGTGTATAGAATACACTATTTTGCAATACAGAAGAATTAACTATAATTCCTGTCTTTTTGGCCGAATTTCAATATAATATGATCATCATATTCAAAATGCCTTAAATTGCTATAGTAGAACCTATAAATTAATTAAATTGCATAAACTTAAGAGGACGTTATACCCGCATGTGTTGTCTCCGTCTTACAATTTCGCGACATAGCAAATTTTACATTCAGCAGATCACGTTTAGCTCCGTGAGCTTAAAATTTAGAGTGAATTGACGTCTTATAAAAATTAAAGGTAACATTATTATTAAGAACTTCTGGTAGGCTTTTTACTATATTTTAATTTTAAAGTTAGTTATAAGTATTTTAAAATACACAAGCAATTTACAATTTTAAAATACTCATAACTCGCTTTGAAATTAAAATATAGAAAAAAGCCTACCAGAAGCTATTGATGATAATGTTACCTAATACCTTTTATAAGAGGTCAATTCACTTAAAATATTAAACTCATCGAGCTAAACGTGATCTGCTGAGTGTAAAATTTGCTATGTTACGCACTTGTAAGACGGAGACAACACATTATGCGGGTACCTATAGCGTCTTCTTAATAACGTGTCATATAATATATTGAAATGAAGTGAAATTAAATTATATGATGCAAACACCTCAACTGTGTATTATTCAATATCATTTGACTTAAATTCAAATAATTAAATTGTTTCATGCTAAAACGGGCACTAAGTCAATTTAATAGGAAAATTAAATAAAAATATCCTATTAAAAACCATCTACGTTAAATAGTTTCTAATTAATAATAATAATATATAAATATTCTCTACGTAGCACTTTTAAATCATAAAAAATACTAATACGTTAACCATTTCGGTCGGAATAAAAACCATAAATACAATGTTCTTGAAAATTAAAAATTATAGGAGATATAAAATGAATATGATGTAAGTTGCAAAAATATGAGTATTACAAATTACATAAAATATATTACAATGCATTATGGTAAGTATTTGTAAGTATATTTTTTTAAATTTTATATACTTATTTATAGGTGGGTACAAGTTAAATGTATAAATTATGAACCTATACATAGAAAAAAATGTATAGGTAGTATATATTGTATAAAAAGTTTTTTTTAAATATTTGTTCAGCGTTTAATAATTGCTTTTACAACTAAACAATTAAATAAATAATGATTAAAAAAAAAATGAAATATATAAGTATTTTATATAAAATACATCTGAGGAGAGGTTGGTGAGCGTGTAAGGAGCAAAGCCTTTTAGTATCATGGTTTATCTAATTAATAGATACGTTATATACAATTATAATTAGATTTGAGATTTGAATTATTTACAATAATTTTATAGCCAACTCTCATTAATATAATTTGCGTTTATTCTGTATTTATTGTATACGCGTAGTAGATGTTTTTAAAGTATATTTTAAAAACCATTATTTATTTATATTTTTGCTGAGGTAGCGGGGAAATTATAACAATAACATGGCCTCGTCAGGGATTTTAAAAAGACATTATTTTTGAAAGACAAGACTATAGGTAGGTAGGTATATTGTTAAGTTCTATTCAATATTGACAAAGAAGAAGGTTTATGGTGACACGGTCTTTGGTAAAAACTTAGTAAATACATAAATTTGGTTTGCACTCAACAACGTGTTATATAGATAATAATATTGAACCGACCGATTGGTTTCGTAATCCAATATTTAATTTCTGATTGTAAAGACTAAAGGTGTGCACTGCATTCCGTGCCATGTTTAAACACATTTTATGACCAGCTGTTCATAATAGACGTGGGATTCGAAGGTAGCAAGCAACCGAGCAAAAATAAAAACGTTCTTATGACATGTTACCGTATGTAAAACATAAAGTTTATTAGTACACGCATTTTAAACACCATATATACATGTATTGTTTGGTTTTTCTTTATGCTGAATTTAAACTGCTTTTAAAGTAAATTTTATTCTACACTAATGGTTTTAAATGTTTTAATCAAATTAATTTTAAATATTTAAATATTTCGAACATATGAATTGCAGTTTTGAATGTTGACCGGAAAAATGTTTTATTTATATTCGTACCATATTATTATAAGTACCTGTACTATTTTAAACACCTATGTCCTATACGACTAAATTGTTTAAAATCAGAAAATACCTAAATTATATTTGGATACCATATCAATTTAATATGCACTTTTATTTATTTTTGTGACACATTTTATAGACTATGGGACAATTTAATTTGACTCATCGTTTTTAAAAAATAACGTATTTACCTAATTCTTGCAAACAATATGTTTTGTTATAGATAAAATATAATTTACATTACAATTGAATACAGTAACTCGTGCCCTTAATTACCGGCAATTGGCTTATTAAAACGGTCGTATAGCATGCAACGGAGTAATTATAATTTAATAAACGTGAACAAAAAAAAACAATGTCAACTAACCAACAAAAGGCTGGTTGGTGGTGACTTTAATCGTCATGTATCCAGCTTTGCATGTCGCAGTAACGGATGGCATAAACTCTTCTTCCACGAGATTTTGCCCATGATTAATATGCTGTAAAAAAAAAAAAACACATGAAATAATAGCACGCACAACAAAATGTAATATACATTATAATGATTTAGTGTTCGGTATTCTTAAATATTTTGTCGTGTTCGCGATATCTTTTTTTTTTCTTTTTTTTTATTAAAGTAGAAAAAAATATACAATCTGTATAACATAATACAATAAGTAAATAAATAAATTACGATTTTAGTTTGGAGTTAAGCCCGTAATGAATATTTATTCATATTTTACATAATATGATATGGGTACAGGYAAAATTAAACGGCGAAGAATTCGTAATAGTATAATATTGCAGTGATTAAACCGATGGAGATGTATTATAACCTATTCGTTTGGCGTTTTTGAAAGTTTCGTTATTTTGAATATTATTATGTCTAAGTCTTTGTTGAGTAACAGTCACCGGTGGTTAAAAAACACTGTAACCATATCTTAGGAGTTTCGGGCCATAATGCATATACATGTGGATTGTGGGCGTATTGTGAATCAATGAGACTGTTGTAAGACTAGATTTTTTTTTGTAATACATGCATACATACACACATATATATATATATATTTATATATATAGGTGGTACTGCTACGTATACATATTATACACCAGGACTTCGAGGTCAAGGACCTAGATACCGATAAAGCACGATTAAACAAAAATAAATACGATGATGATTTTTGCATGTTTCGGTCACAGATCAAAAATCGTGTCGGCCGTTAGCTCATCCACCAACATTGCAGACATGCGCGTTATGTGTACACATCAGCGTTTATGTACATATAATATATATTATAACGATAAACCTTTAATAATAATACAATAACTATATTCTATATACACACGCGTCACGCATATATATATATATATATATATGCGCTCAACGCTGCACACGTAGTACATAAACACCTATAATATACTTATAATAATGTACCTAATATCTATTGTGCGTGCGTACTTAGATAATACGATGTACATATTACATACGACGGATTACTCAATTATTTGCTAGTACGTCACATATAGGTAATACGTTTATAATATTATTATCAAATCTACAGCACAGCGTCATTCCGTCTGATAAAAAATGACCGATAAAAAACTCGTCATCACGCGGGATGTTGATAATAATACCCATCTACCTACACACACACACACACACACACACACACACGCACATGGTATAATATAATAATATATTGGATAATGATTTTACAGAAGACGCCGCCGTCGTCCGCGTTTTGTCGTCGTCGTGGTGAGCGTGCGGCCTTGGTACACACCTGCACACTGCATACTATACAAAATGAGCAAAATCACACAGACACACACAGACACACACAATATCTCTAGCGACTCGGTTGACCACCATTTAAGGTTTGTCCGCGGCGAACTCGTGTAGGTGCGCAGACTTGTTTTAATAGTCACGAGGGCGCTGCCGCCTTGTATACAGCACGCACGTGCGAGATACGACTTGTCGGGGTTAATTTTATGCGTATATTTTATTCCGCATAGATATATCGTTTAATATATATTATACATATACATAGGTACCCATACGCGATGTGCAGAGATCAGCGACAGTCGGCAGTGGTCGTGTAGATATAACAACACGATATGACKATGCTGCATTCGCGATTCGTACGGTTTATTTTTGTTTCGAACACACACACATCATAATAAACCGGGCTAATTACGAAACCCGCTGTATATTATCACACAGGTATATTAAATAGTTACGTATATATATGCCTTGACGAACGGAATACAATAAAATATACGCACCCCATCGCGATCGTTAATTAAAACCGTCTCTTAGACGCGCTTAATTAGACCACTCGTGAGTTTTTTTTCTCGCGTACCGATATATTATATATATATATGGAATATTATGCCAAAGCTGGTAAGTATAATGTGCAATGTATATAAATATATACATGTGTGTATTAAGTGGTTTCGTGAATCTTAAAATCATTATAATATATACATTAAATAGACCGAGATATTATATGATTATAATATAATATGTACATGACACTGCAGCTTGCACAAGAGCAATTCCGCTGCTGACTTTACAAGCCGTATGTATATATATATATATATATATATATATATATATATACCCGTACGTGATAATAGCCTGGTAATCAGTGACCGATAGGTGGTCCAAAATGATTTGATTTTTTTTTAATGTACATCAATCACTCGTGTGCCGAGCTCATTATCGAAAATCATTCCAGCGGCTTGTCAATGTAATAATAATATAATGTAAGTACTGAGTACTGACGCGTGTATAGGAAATACCACCGCGGCCGATGAAATCCGCTACAGAGCACGTTCCATCGTCAATATGATAATAATATAAGATATAACCATCACTAATAAGGTACACAAGATAAGACGATGGGCCCATTGTAATCGATCGTGGAGAGCATATTATATATACATAGATATTATATAAGTACTGCAGGCGCATGAGTAAAGATCATAAATTATGATGGGAAGAGCGATGTGGTCAACGATGGAATTCTCAGAGTCACGATAGTTAATTGATAAGTTGTCTAAGACTAATAATAACATAGTATATAAATACATCTTTTGTTCTGTATACAAGTACATAATATAGCTATRCTACAAATTATAAAGAATAAAAAAAATATTTGGAAGACTTGAGCCGGAAATCGTTCATATATGAGGAAATCGTTATTATCATGTTTATGTATAATATATTAATATGTGAGTTAAACTCTTTCCAATACAACTTAATAACATATGTAGACAGTAGATCTGTAGGTACACGACTCATATTATATYTATAGATAACTCATACTATATTATTTTATTTATTGGAAGGTATAGGTTAAGTTACCTATAAACTTACAAGACAATAAATTAATAACAAAAATACACAGTGCAGATTTTTACAATTATAGTGACAAATAGAYAATTATGAAAATAATACATACTTAAGCATGATWTCCTGTRTTTATATCATTAACTACTGCATTGGATTATATTATTATCTCTACCTATTTATTCTGCCTACTCTAAATATGATTATAATGTATTCGAACTTCGAACGCGTGGGTATTTCTGTGAGTAAGTCTGGATTTAATATTATTATAAAATCAATAAAAGAATATATAATTTTCGGCATTATTAAAAAAAAAAAAAACAGTGTTATTGGCATAAGGATTTTTTGATCTAATAAAATATTATATTCGTTATGAATTGAAATAAACGAATGCGTTATGCGCTTCGTGAAATAGACTACTACCTATAATGGTAATGTCATTCGTAATCATTGCTCGATGTATATACCTATTATATATAGATTATAAGTAGTCGATGAAAACAATTGCATAAAGAATCTTATACAATATTCACAATATTGTATAGTCTATATACAATGACTATCCTTACATGGAAAGTCCAAAAACGACTGTTGTCAGCAATTGCCCGGGACTTCTCTTTAACCTTGGAAAAATGAGTGAAAAACACCTTCCACGGTCATGCATAATTATTATTGCAAACCATCTCATGCGTTATTGTTCTGGTGATACCCCAGTGTTCCTTAAACGGAATGCGATCTYGCAACTGCATCACTCTGTATACTATACATTATCGGTGCATCATTATAAATTATAATGCATAAAGAACGAAGGAAGTAGGCACATGGTAATCGATCATTGATCAGGAATGCGCCTTTCATTTTAACCAAACCACGGTAATTTAATTATTATCAATCATTGTAATGTATTATCATCACAAGGTAAATAATCATCAAAGAACAAAGTACCTACCCGTTTATAATCATATTATGTACTTGTATTTTTAACTTACTTGATAGAAAAATACATTCAATACAATTATTATATTACATATTATGTGCATATTATATTAAAATAATTATTTATTGACCTATACGAACCAAACATACACCTATTCTACATATAAAAAAAAAAACGAAGACATTTATAATAATCGTGTTTATATATAATTGAATTAAATGGTAAAAWTTTTTACAAGAATATGATTTATTTACATATTTATCATTTCAAAACAACACAATTTTGTAACAAGTCGTTTATTTTCGATTAAATCAGAAAATTATTTTTCACATACTGGAAGTTAATATAATTCCAGATACCTACTTACAACATATTATAATGGATTTTAAATCGTTTTAAAAACACATGAGAAAACGGACGGTCGTRCGTCGTATACCTAGTATTGAGAAAAGCCGTTGATAAAAAACAGCTACTTTACGAATGACAACCAAACATATACATCGACAGAATTGATTTATATTMCTACGGTTTTAAAATATGTACATTTTTAGAGGTTGAAATTATGTGTATGCCAAGTCCAGAAAACTTTACGTCATTTACAGAAATAACAGCGACCGGGAGTAAAAACCTCCGTGGAATTGTTTATTATTTTGAAATATATTAATATAATCGTTACAGTCCACTCAACGAAGATGGATCCATGTGTTTTTTCAGTGTCAGACGTCACAACGTCCATAAATTAATATGTATTTTGTTTATTACCTATACTCGTAATATATGAATAGGTATACCACTATATATTTTGTATATTCGAGAAATTTAATCGAATAAGATATTTTGATTAGTTGGTAAATCGAATAAATTACCTATATAATAAATGGCGATCGAGGAAATTATTTAAAACGTATTTATTGTATTTACTACTTTTTAAAACTATTTTACTGAAATACATTACTGTTTAATACGTTAGGTACTTAAACGAAAATTGTACCCACATAGTAGTATTTAATGGGAAAATCGAACAATGTTATAACTTAAAAATGTATACATAGTTAGGTATTAGCAACTAATACCAAAAATAATTCCTACGTTTAACGTATGAATAAAATGATGTTTGTTTTGAAATTCACAACTAGCAATGTTTTGTAACGTCGGCCTTCATTCAATTGATACATTTGATTAGCCCGATTGTAAAACTGTATAATATGTGT